CTTTCCATTTAAGGCTAAGTAAACCAAACATATTGGTACTGCTTGAAACTTGTACAACTTTAACTTTCCATTTAAGGCTAAGTAAACCAAACATATTGGTACTGCTTGAAACTTGTACAACTTTAAATTTCCATTTAAGGCTAAGTAAACCAAATATATTGTTACTGCTTGAAACTTGTACAACTTTAACTTTCCATTTAAGGCTAAGTAAACCAAATATATTGTTATTGCTTGAAACTTGTACAACTTTAACTTTCCATTTAAGGCTAAGTAAACCAAATTGTATTGTTATTGCTTGAAACTTGTACAACTTTAAAGCTGAAGTTTTTACAACGATGCAAGTACGTCAGAAGATGAGTCTTCGCATCTTCTTTTCTTTTGCTGATAAACAAGAAAACAAGAACATTCCAAGCTCAAGATGAAAGTGAAAAACAAACAAACAATCTTTGGTTTTCAGAACCTTTCTGTGATGAATTCATTACATCATGGATGATAAACGTTATCTAGACTTGCGTCCAGTCCGAAAGTACCTAAACCTTAAGTTTTGGTGATCACGTAAGCCTATCATAGGACTTAGATTAAAGTAATTTCATAAGTATTGGAATCGTTTTTTTTTGTCTTTTTTTGGACAACCATAAAAGAAACTGTATTTCAATTTTAGGTTTCAAAAATATTCAACAGATTACTGAAACTGTACTTTTTCTTTTCTTTCGTTTCACAAAATCATGAATCTGTGAGTGAAATAAATACAGAATCGCCACTAGTCAATGAGTTACACCAGTCTCGGGTAATTTGGGTTCTCATCAGCAACCCTTGACAAGTCCTCTGCAGAAGATTTTAGAAGAATACATTATAATTATCATTAAAAAATTAATTTTTCACATATCTATGTAAAGGTAGGTTGTTTGTGTTAAGTAAAACACAACTCGAACACCAAGCACCTAAAGGTTCTACACAACACAAACCGAGTGTATGAAGGTATTACAAAATACAACGTTACTCATACTTAGAAGAGAAATTCTATTTCCTGCTAATCAGAACTTGGGTTAAGCAGCAAGACGAAGCTTTGAAGTTACATAAACGATTCGACTTTTTATTTTACTCACCTTATCAGTACTGCGATCAGGTCTATGTGTTAATGACATGGCAGGTTATAAGTGTTTTTTGCCACACCACAAAAAGGATGTATTACTACTCTATGTGGTCAAGCCTAGTCATCTCCCGCCCCTGTTCTCAGTGCTTATACCACAGCTTTTTTGATGTCTCTATTGTTGAGGGGTTTCAAGGACAGCTTATCTTATTAATTTACAGTATCCAATTAATTTTTGGCACATCATTACGTGAGCACGAAACCGTCAGTTTACCATACAAGTTCGTACCAGGTTTTCTAATTACCTGACACGAACAATTTTTCAGGTTTTCTAATTTCCTTTCATAGCAAGATTTCGTGCAGTGTTTTTTAACTTGAGATTTTTTACGGTTTTTGCTTTACAAAGTGTTCAGGAACTGCATCTATAATTAAAGGTGAATGGCAAGCGCCTTTTAATTAAGTCGTTGGGGAAGATGGTGGTGTGAGTTATAAAAGCAGATAACAACTCCATATGTCAGCCTTGGGTAAATAAGCCTCTATCCGTTTATGTATATTGCTAACAATTAAACTACAAAATATATCAGAAATTAGTTACATATAAAGACCTTGAAGCATCAGTTAATAAGAGACGTGCAGGATTTCAAAACATGAAAAAAATAATAATGAACATTTGAAGCTTCTATTATTTCGTACAAGAATATTTTTTTTTGTATTTTCCAAAGTAAAAAGAGAATTAAATATTATATTTTAGAAAATCTTACATTTCAACTCGATCAATGCACAACAACTATAGGATTATATGAATCTTTATAGTTTTTACATGAAATAAATCAATCTCTAAATGACATAAGTTATTCTCTAGATATCTACCAGTTGTAAGAAGGTAAGGTACATCAGAACTGATATTGATGTAGGCTTACACTCGAATGTAAAGTACTTCAGGGGCCCGATATGACCAGGTGATTAGGGCACTCGACTAGCAAACTGAGGGTCACGGGTTCGAATCCCTGTCACACCAAACATGCTCGCCCTTTCAGCCGTGGGGGCGTTATAATGTGACGG